GAAGAGGGGCCTGGGCAGACACCCCGCAGTGGCCGTGCTCCATCCCCTGGGGCATCCTGGGGCTGTCCCTGCCTGGGGAGCGCAGGGCTGGGCTGTGTTCTCCGGCCTCTCCCGCAGCCCCTCAGCTCGGGCTGCGCTCGCTCTTTGCCAGATGCAGCCCTGGACCGCACAGAAGAGAAGAAACCCGCCCGTGGCCGCTTCCGCAAAACCCTGAAGGTGCCTGCAGCCATCCCCACCTGGGCTGGGCCTGCTGTCACTGCTCAGCCCAGCACCATGCCTGGAGCACTCCATGGAACATCCCTGGCTTCCATTTCCTTTGTTCTCCTACAGACGTTCTGGAAGTTCCCGCGCATTCGCCGCAGGAAGACCGGCAGCGCAGCAGCTGAGGGCCCGGCCGAGCCTGACTCGGGGCTGACCGAGCTCCAGGCTGAGCCTGATGTCAGCCCAGAGTCGAGAGCACACTCAGGGAACAATGCAATCCGTTTTCAGAGGGTGATAGCTGTTCACATGGCAATGGCTGAAAGCCTGGCCATCACAAACACTAACAATGAAGGGACTCAGGGCATCACAAATACCGACAACAGCCCAGATCCAGCGGAACCTTCAGGAGACTCTGAGGTTGCAAGGAATGACCAGAGGGCAAAGGCTGACATGGCAGTGACTGAGGATGTGGACATCACAAACGCCAAAACCAGAGACACTCAGGGCATCGCAAATACTGACACCATGCCCTCTCCCACTCTGAGTCAGGAACTCATATTCGACTATTTCAAGGACCCTTGTGTTTCTTCTCAGCAACAGCAGGTAAGCAGCCTGGGGCCAGGCCTGGAGGCCTCCCAGCATCGTGTGTCCCCTCAAGCCATGGTCTCTGGGCCCCCTCAGCGTTTGAGGCCAGCACAGTGTGGAAGAAGGGAAGCACTTCTTTGAAATAGCTGGGCAAGTTGTTCCCTTGGACAACGTTCCATCTCTCCCCCATGCTTCCTCCAGGTGCCAGCCAAGGTGAAGAACATCCACCAGAGTCTCATGTCCCAAGTCACTGTGAATGTCTGGCTGAAGACTGACATTTTGAGGCTGGCTAAAGAACAGCCTGCTGACGTGGTGCTGACCCTCCTGCGCTGTGCCCCAACGTGTGACAGGTACGGGGCCCACGAGCCTTGAGAGCTCAGGGCTCAGCAGCCTTTAGGGCCCACGGCCCTGCACAGCCTGTGCAATGGGCTCTGCCAGACAGGCAGAGAGGCCCAGGAGCCTCGGGCCCCTCTGTTCCCTGAGCCTGCTGCCAGCGCTCCCCCCATGCCCTTCAGGGCACAGGGGCTCTGTCACCTGGGCCCCCACGGGTGCACAGGGCATGGTGCCGTGACTGAGATGCCCCTGACACAGAGCTCTGATCCCACAGAGCCGCTGCAATGATCTGGAGAACCATAGGCTCGTCGAGTCGCACAGTGGAAAAGGTGCTGCCAGCGCTGCTCTGCGTGATGGAGAACTGGCCTCTGCACAGCATGTGCACCTCTGATGGGGACAACGAGGAAGTCTTTGCCCTGGCTGTGAGTTTCTGGAACTGGCCTTTGCTCACCCCCAGGTTGCCAGCAGCTCTCCATCCTCTCCATCCCTCAGTTGCTGGGCTGAAACCTGGGCTAGGGGCAGGCTCAGGGGGCACCCAGCCCGCTGCTCCCCCTGCGTCGGCTCTTGGGCCCTGCCCCATGGACACCTCGTCACTGAGCGCTGCCTTGGGCTGTTCTCTTGCAGGCAACTCTGGGTCTCTGGGTGATTCTCCAGGTGCCCAAGTGCCACAAGGCGATGAACCTTTATTCCTCCCGCCTGTTTGTGGCTCTGCTCTTCCATCTTGTCATCACCACACAGCAGATACCATCAGAGGAAGTTGCTACATTCTGGAGAGCATGCCAGGAGGAACACCGCCTTCACTGCAAGCCCAACAGGTCCCAGTCCCCCTGTCCTTCCCGTGCCCTTGTGGCCAGTGCCAGCGCTCCCAGTGTGACCTGGGCTTTGCTCTGCACACAGGTTTGCAGTGCAGGCCATGAAGGTTCTGCTCTGCCGACTGCAGCGGAACCATGTGATGCTGGCTCTGGAGCTCAAGGGTGGCTGGGACATGCTGCTGTGTGCTGACACCCAGCACGTTGCTGTGGGCCTGCTGGCCAGGTGAGACCCCCTTCTCCCCACGGTCCCCAATATTTGTGCCCTGTGCCCAGGTGCCCCTCACAGTCCCTGCGGTCATGGGCCAGAGGGCCTTTCCACCGAGGGACAGCCAAGGAAACTGGAAAAGGCTTGGAGAGGAGAGTGCCCAGAAGGGGCCGCCTCACAAAGCGCCCACATCCTCTCCAGGGATGCTGGGGAAAGACCGGACCTCTGTGAGTCACTCCTGGGAGGGGTTTGGCCTTTCCACCTCAGGGCCTTTTTCCTCCCTTGCCAGGGGGTTGTGCCATGTCTTGGACTCCTTCTGTTCCCGCATTGCATTCCGCCTGCTCCGGCCACAGAGCAGGGAAGAGCCGTGCTGGGATCTGCCCTCCCTGGCATTCCTGGTGGAGGTGAGCCTGTTGGCCAGCGCTGCCTGCCTCAGCTGCCTCCCGGCTCTCTGCCCTCTCGCAGCCGCAGCTGCCTGGGACGGTGCCCACGCCCCGTGCTGCTGCCTGGGCCCGGCCCTGTGCGGTTCTGGGCTCCTGCCGGCCGGTCCCCTGTCACTGCCCTGTGCCTTTCAGGTCCTCGGGGGCCTGGACTTGATTGAATGCGGTGACAGGGTTCTGGAGATGATGTCAAGGCACCTGCGGAGCGAGTGCAGGGAGCGGCGTCGCCTGGCGCTCCGAGGCCTTGTGGTGCTCACCAAGGATCCCTCGATGGTGAGAAGGGGGCAGCAGCTGAAGCTGCGCTGGGCAAAGCAGCCCCTTGGGCTGGCAGGGCTTCAGGAGCTGAGGCAGCTGCTCCCAGCTCTCCTGCCTCCCCTGCCCCAGTGCTTTGGGACAGGCCTTTGGCCTGTGGGCCCTGCAGCAGCAGGGTGGGCCTGCAGTGCCAGGGCGGTGTTGGCCGTGCGGCCATCCACGGCTCCCCAGCCCACCCTTGTGTTCCGCACAGGCCAGAAGAATGTACCCGCTGTCTCAAAGCCTTCTGGAGCTGCTGGGGGATGCAGATGGAGAGGTGGTCAGCATGAGCCTCCACGTGTTCACAAATGTCCTCCAGCACAAAGACATCCTGGTATCCCGCACCACTGCCCCGAAGCTCGCTGAGGCACTCCTCCTGCTCTTTGACCATGTAAGGCTCTATGTCCACAGCCATGGGCACAGACTGCCCGCATACACTTTTCCCTTATGGATTTTCTGACATTGTCTCTGGTGAGCCTGGAATAATTGGTCTTAAAAGTCTTATCCTCCTCTTTTCTAAAGGACAGCAGCTATGTGCACTTGCTCTCTATTCAACTCTTTGACAAGATGATGAACTTGGTAGAGGATGAGGGAAAAAAGCCCATGAAGAAGATTTTGTGTCAGAGCTTGCTCCCACTTTTCTTGCACTGCCATGAGGACAACCAGCACGTGGCAAATGTGAGGTTTTGTGTGATGCTGGTGGATCTCTGGGAGGGGGCTGGGCTGTCTCCTGCCCTGGCGCCTGGCGGGCTGCAGCCTCCTCCAGGCCCTACCACAGGGACGCGGGTCCTGCGCCCTGGGCTCTGGGGCCATCTCTGGGTCTCGGCTGCTCTCCAGGCTTCTCGGGAAACGCTGCTTGGTGTGGCCGAGTTTTTGAAGAAGAGGAATCTCAAGAAGCTGCTGAAGAAGGAGCAGCTGTCAAAGTTTGCCGAGTGCCTGGTAAGGAGGGCCGGGAAGCCGCAGCCCCAGCCTGGAGAAGCCCCCTGAGCGCGGTGCTCGGTGTGCGGGCTGGCAGCTGTGCCCCTGCCCGCTGCTGCAGCCCGAGGCCGCGCGGGCTCTGCTCCAGGCTCCTGCGGCCCGAGCCGGGTGCCCATGGAGCCGCGGCCCGGCGGGGCTGCGGGGCCAACCCTTCCCTCCTGCCGCTCTCTCCAGCTGGCAGAGGACAGGAGCAGAGTGGCCGAGCACCTGCGCCGGGCCCTGCCCTACCTGCAGAGCCCACAGGAGCCCCTGCGAGAGGCGGCCCTCAGGTTCATGGGTGAGCCACGAGCCGGGCCAGGAGGGCGTGTGGCCCCAGGGCTGGCAGCGCCGCTGGCAGGGAGCTGTGCCGCTGGGCCTGACAGGCTCTGTGTTCCCAGGGATGGCGAGGCGCTACCTGAAGGGACAGCCAGCCGAGCTTCACCTTCTCACTCAGGGTGAGTGAGGGCAGCGGGCTGTCAGCGGGGGCTGGCCGGGAGAGCTGCAATGCCGGCCAGGGAGCTGCAATCCCTGTCCCGGCTGCGGTCAGCTTCGCTCCTTGTGTGGACGAGGGCTGGTGTGGGCAGGGCACAGAGAGATTTCAGGGACGCCACTGGGGGGATTCGTGACCAGCGCCTTGCGGCTGATCCTGTTGGGTCCTCATCTCTGTTAGGCATGGCAGGAGCTGGGAGAGATGGCCTTAGCAGAAGAATCGCTGGGTGGCCCTCTGGGCTCTGACTGTGGTAGTTTATCTGTCTTCCAGCCCTTGAAGCCATGAGCGAAGATGACAGCCCATCCTCCACTAACCTGGAACTTCAGGCAATTTTTGGACAGAGATGTGCAGAACTAAGGTCATCTGCTGGATTCAGAGAACCACGATCCCAAGAAGAGTACCAGGAGACAGTGAAGAGAGCACCAGGCTCACCTGTTGCTGGCCACAGCTGTGTCTGCTTCAAGTTCCCATAGCTGCTGCCTTCGCCCTCCCTGTTAACAGCTCCCTCCCCATTCCCTGTTGTCAGCTCCTTCCCTCCAGCCCTCAGACCCTGCCCATCCCCCTTTTTTTTTCCCCATCTCAAGGCCAGACCACAGGACTCTGTGACCTGTGGCCTTCCGAGGCTTCAATTCTGCAGGTGACCTTGAGGGCAGACCGTGGGACTTGGTGCCCCAGAGTTTTCCAAGGCATTTCTCCTGAGAGTAGCCAGAAATCCGGTCACTGCCATGGGGCAGGGAGCCCTGAGAGTGCCCAAGCTGACCTGGATGGAGGAGGAAGAAGGCAGCCCTGCAGCTGCCCCAGCACAGGAGACTGAAGAGGTGGTGCCGTTCCATCCACCACAGGAGGGTGAGTGGCAGAGCCAGGCCGCAGGGCTGGTGCCTTCAGCCAGCTTGGCCCCATCCCACCCCATCCCGTCACATCCTGTCCTATCCCATCCCCTGGGGATGTGCCCATGGACAGGAGGGAAGAGGGCCTGGGCAGACACCCCGCAGTGGCCGTGCTCCATCCCCTGGGGCATCCTGGGGCTGTCCCTGCCTGGGGAGCGCAGGGCTGGGCTCTGTTCTCCGGCCTCTCCCGCAGCCCCTCAGCTCTGGCTGCGCTCGTTCTTTGCCAGAGGCAGCCCTGGACCACACAGAAGAGAAGAAACCCGCCCGTGGCCGCTTCTGCAAAACCCTGACGGTGCCTGCAGCCATCCCCACCTGGGCTGGGCCTGCTGTCACTGCTCAGCCCAGCAGCACATCTGGAGCACTCCATGGCTTCTTGCCCTTCTCCTACAGCTCGTTTGCAAATTCATCAAGAGAATTTGGCGGGAAGAGACCAGCACCATGAGCCCTGGACTCAGAGCATACTCAGAGGTCCTCGGACATGAGACCAGTGCCTCTCTACTGGATTTGCTTGTGCAGAGGGGTGTTTCCAGAGCAGAGCAAGTAAGCAGCTGTGGCCAGGCTTCACTTCCCCCATGAGTCACATGGCTTCCCAAGCCACTAGTGCTGGCCCCTGTGAGCCTTTGAGGCCATCGCAGTGCGGTGGGAAGAGAAGCACTTCTATTGGGACGCTGGGAACAGTGCTCCCTCTGGCAGCTTTCCAAGTCTCCCTCTGCCTTCTCCAGGTGCCCACCATGGTGAGATACATCCACCAGTGGCTCATGGCCAATGATTCTGCTGAGCACAGGCTGGACAACGCCCTGCTGTATCTCACAGAACCGCAGCCAAATGATGCAGTAATGACACTCCTGCGTGTGGCCCCATCCTGTGACAGGTATGGGGCCCACCCGCCCAGAGGGCTCAGGGCTCACTCCAACCCATCGCCCTGTACAGCCTGTGCCAGGTATCTGACCAACAGAGAGTTCCAGGGCCCTCTAGCTGCTCCCTTTCCCAGCCCTGGCATGTCAGCCCCGAGCCTGCTGCCATGTTCCATCGTTGCCCCACAGGGGCCTGTCCCCACAGGGCTGGGCTGTCTGGCTGCTGCTGGAGAGGGGCAGTGGGCAAAGGCAGAGCCAGCGGTCAACCCGGGCTTCTAGAGATGCCCAGACCATGGTGCTGTGTCTGAGATCCCCTGAGACAGAGCTCTAACCCCGCAGAGCTGCATGGCTCTATGGAAGACCATCATGTGCACACCCTGGACTGCAGAGCTGGCACAGCAGATACTCCTGGATGTGCTGGGGAGCTGGCCAGAGCACAGCACGTTCACCTCCGATGGGGACAAAATGGGTGTCTTTGCCCTGGCTGTGAGTTTCTGCCAGTGACCTTTGCTGGCCCCAAGGCCGCCTGTCCAGCAGCTCTCCATCCTCCTTCCCCCACTGCATCTCCCCGCCTCAGGCACTGGCCTGAAACCTGGCCTAGGGACAGCTGCAGGGCCACCAGGCCTGCTGCTCCCCCTGTGTCTCTCTGGGCCTCTCCCTGCCACGCTTAGGCCCTGTCACATGGACACCTTGGCACTGAGCGCTGTCTCGGGGGGCTTTGTCCTTTGCAGGCAGCTGTGATGATATGGAAGATCCTCCAGGAGCCCTGTGTCCCACATATAGTGATGGTGCATTTCCCGCAGTTATTTGTGCATCTGCTCTTCCAAGTGTTCTTCAGCACCAAAGAGATGCCAGAGGCGGCAGACACCTTCTGGAAGGGATGCCAGGAAGAACACGGCATTGCCACCAGCCCCAACAGGTGCTCCATCACAGTCTTTCTGTCCCTGCCACACAGCCAGGGCAGGAGCCAGTGCTCCTAGTGTGACCCGGGCTTTGCTCTGCACTCAGGTTTGCAGTGAGGACCCTGAAGTCCCTGCTGTGCCAAATGGACTATGAGGATGTGGTGGTGTCAATGGAACGCAAGCGTGGCTGGGACACGCTGCTCTGTGCTGACACCCACCATTATGCCGTGGGTCTGCTGGCCAGGTGAGACCCCCTTCTCCCCATTGCTCCTGGCATTTGTGCTCTGTGTCTGGGGTATCCCACTCAGTCCCCGTGGCTGTGGGCCAGAGGCACGAGGGATGGCCAAGCAGACTGGAAAAGGCTGGGAGAGGAGGGTGCCCAAGAGCAGCCACATCTCAAAGCGCCCAGGTCCCCCTGCAGGGTGGGGGTAAGGACAAGAACTGCATCAGTCTGTCCTGGGAGGGGCTTCCCCCCCCCCGGCTCAATGTCTTAGTGTCGTAGGAACGGGCCCCCGGCTAGGTAATCATTATCACTGACTCCATGTATTGCAGAAGTCTGATCAATAATAATCTGTATTAAGAAATCCATTGTTCTTATAGATAGTTATGATATAGGTTGATTTAATTCGTTTTCTAGTCTAAACACTATCACCATTAGTTAATTAAGAAAGCATCCTTTGGTAGACAAATCTCCGTAACATATTCCACATGTTCACAATACCAGGTGCAGCATGTTAAGATAAGAATATTTTTTCATTCTTTCCTGTGATCTTCTCAGACTTTCTCAGGCGATGCCTGGGAAAGTTGTCTGTTTCTCTCTGAGGCCAGAGAGCTGCTGCCACATCTTAGTGCCATTTTCCGCCTTCCAGGGAGATGTGCAATGAATCCATCTGCTTGTGCAAAAGCATCTTAGGCTGTCTCCTTGAGTTGCTCAGCAATGAGATGCCATACTGGAACTTCCCTGCCCTGGCATTCCTTGTGGAGGTGAGTCTGAAGGCCAGTGCTGCCTCCCGGCTCTCTGCCCTCTCGCAGCCGCAGCTGCCTGGGACGGTGCCCACGCCCCGTGCTGCTGCCTGGGCCCGGCCCTGTGCGGTTCTGGGCTCCTGCCAGCCGGCTCCCCTGTCACTGCCCTGTGCCTTTCAGGTCCTGCATTGCCTGGACTTGAGTGCAGGCAGTGACAGCATCATGGATCTCTTGTCAAGGCACTTCCTGAATGAGCGCACAGAGATGCGCCGCCAGGTTCTAAGGGCCCTCCTCTTGCTCAGGGATAGTCCCTGGCTGGTAAGGACGGGGCAGTAGATGAACCTGTGCAGGCAGCGTGGGGCTGGGGAACACAGTCACTGGAACTTGGCTGGGCTTCAGGCACTGGGGCAGCCGCTCCCAGCTCTCCTGCCTCCCACTTCAGCTGCCCGAGTGCTTCGGGACAGGCCTTTGGCCTCTAGGCCCTGTGGCAGCAGGGTGGCCTTTCACACACCTTTGTTCCGCACAGGCCAAAAGAATGGGGAGCCTGACCGAAAGCCTCAGGGAGCTCCTGCAGGAAAATCATAGTGATGTGGTCAGGATGACCATTGTTCTACTTAGTGATTTGTTCCTGGATAATGACACCCCAATACCCAGCCCCATCGCCCTGCAGCTGGCTAAGGTGCTTCTGCCATCTTTGACCACATTAGGCTCTGTGCCCTCAGCCACGGCCACTGGCTGCTGCCCAGACACTTAGTGCCCCGTGAAGATGCAGGCCTGCGACAACATGGGCCAGAATCAGCTGATGCCAAGGTCTTGTTTCCTTCCTGTTACACAGGATGATAGCCATGTGCAGCAGCTCTCAATGTTTGTCTTTCGAACCTTGCTGTCTGCTGTAGTAGAAGAAGGAAAAAAGCCCCTGATGACACAAGTGTGTCAGAGCCTGCTCCCACTCTTCTCCCACTGCCATGATGAGAATCAGTGTGTGGCAGAGGTGAGGACTCGTGGGCTGCTGCTGTCCCCCTGGGAGGGAACTCAGCTGCCTCCTGTCCTGGCACCTGGCGGGCTGCAGCCTCCTCCAGGCCCTGGCACAGGGATGCTGATCCTGGGCCCTTGGCTGCGGGGCCATTTCTGTGTCTCTACTGCTCTCCAGGCTTCTCGGGAAACCCTGCTTTGTGTGGCCAAATTCCTGAACAGGAGAGATCTTGAAAAATCTGTAAAAGAGAAACTGTGGAGGTTCATTGAGATCCTGGTAAGAAGAGCCAGGAAGCCGCAGCCCCAGCCTGGAGAAGCCCCCTGAGCGCGGTGCTCGGTGTGCGGGCTGGCAGCTGTGCCCCTGCCCGCTGGCAGCTGTGCCCTGGGGCGGCAGCGTGTGGCGAGGGTCCGGGCTGAGCCCTGCCGGGCCAGGAGGGCGTGTGGGCACAGGGCTGGCAGCGCCGCTGGCAGGGAGCTGTGCCGCTGGGCCTGACAGGCTCTGTGTTCCCAGGGATGGCCGGATGGAGCTTGAGGGGACAGCAGGAAAAGCTCCAGCTGATCTGCAATGGTGAGAGAGGGCAGCGGGCTGCCAGCGGGGGCTGCAGGGGCGAGCTGCAAGCCCTGCCCCGGCTGTGGAGAGCTCTGCTCTCCTAGGTAGAGCACACAGAGATTTCGGGGACACATGTGGGATTTGAGGCCAGCAGCTTCAGGCTGATCCCCTTGGTCCCGGATCCCTCCCGGCCATGGCAAGAGCCGGCTGGGATGTCCCTGGCAGGAGGGACTCCCCTCGGCTCCCTGCAGAGTTGGGATCTGACCGTGGCTCTGTTCCTCTGTCTTGCAGCCCTTGAAGAAATGGCAAATGACCGCAGCCTTCCTGTCAGAAACCTGGCAATTCAGACTTTGCACATTCTTCGGGCAGTAGCCACAGTTAAATATTCCATCTGTGAAAATCTGGAAGATCGTCTCTGCAGAGCATGGAAGACACGGCCTCGTCCTTTTGGGCTTGGCTGGTTGTGCTGCTGGTGCTCTGCAGAGAGCTGATCCCAGAGTCTCTGTCTGCTGGGGCCACCTGAGCCAGCGGGGAATTTTCCCATTGTTCAAGACTGTTCTTTGCTTCTCTATGTTTTTCTTTAGTCTATAAATATAGGATGTTGTTATAATAGATTCCCAGGATCTTTCTTTTGCTCCTGAGAGTCTGCAGGGCATAGGGGAAGAGGGGGAAAAGTTTGCTTGTGCTCAGCAAGGTGCCCAGGCATGCAGTGTTGCAGGGAAAATGGCCACAAGCCCCTTGGCCTTTGGTGTCTCTGCTGAAGCCTTTGTGCTGCCCACAGAGCGGGTGGGCAGGGCCGGAGCTGTGGGGATCCCTGCAAGGAGCAGTGCCTGGAAATGGCCACAAGCCCTATGCCAGGCAGGAAGCGCCATCCGTGTCCTCCTGCCTGTGTTGCTGGCTGGATTGCTGAGGGCTCCCAGGTGCCTCTTGATGGGGCTCCTCTGGAGCTCCTGTGGGGCTGCAGCGCTGCTGCCGGGCAGGTTGGCCGGGCTGGGGGAGACCCAGAGGGGCTGGGGCAGTGGGAAGCCCTGAGCAATTGGGTGTCAGAGGCCACAAGCAGCCCCAGGCAACCGCCTTGTTCCCGGCTCCTGGCTGCTCTGGCGCTTCCTCAGTGGGCGGTTGGAGGGACCCCCCTGGCATCAGGTGTGGAACCTTGGGCCCAGCCTTTCAGGGCTGTTAGCCAGGAGTTGTGGGGCTGGGCATGTGCCCTCCCTCTGCTCAAGATTGGAGCACCTGGCCCCTCAGCCTTAGGCATTGAGCTCGACTGCCTGCTTACTGCGTCTTGTTCCTGTTGCCATGGGGCAGGCCGAGCTCTGTGTCTTTAGGCACAAATGAGGGAGAAGAGCAGCAGCTTTGAGCCCAAGAGGGGCCACAGAAAGGCCCTCTGACAAAGGGCATTCCTGGCATTCCCAGGGCAGGGACACATGAGAGTGTGGGCAGGCACCTTTAGGGTGCCAGGCTGACTTTGTGCTGGTCTACCTCCCTGTGTGCTGGGCTGGGTCTTTGCTTTGCTGTTGTTGGCCTTTTGCTGTCGTGCTCCTTTGGCTGCCTGCAGAGAGGGGCAGCCGTGTAAGGAGGGTGAAAGGCCCTGTCTCCAACACCTGAAGGGGGAAAATGGAGCTCTCCCAACCCTCAGCCCACACTCTAGGCAGGGCAGAGCCTTTTCCCCAGCCTCAGTGGCTTTCTGCCTGCTGGTTGGTCCTGGCCAGCATGACCTGTTCTACTGGGGCTGAGTCACTGAGGGAGTGGGTGGCTGCTGCCCCTCAGTTCACTGACAGGACTTGAGTGTTGCTGAGGGATAGACAGGCCTTCCAGGTGATGCTGAGGGGACATTTGGCTCACTGAGGGACCTGAAGTTCCCATAGAAACTTGCAGGTGTCTTCTCTGTCACT